TATATGGCATTACTCAAAACGTTTTCACAATGCAGTATTGGATATTGGCTATATGTATGGGCGTTTTATAGAAGCTATAAATATTTTGTTTATTCTACTTGTTCATTTAAAGGGATGTCAGCTGACAGTTGTCTCATTTCCGTGCCGTGCCTTGAACGCATCACCCCAGCTTTCCTTTCCACCTGTTGACGCTCCTTCTTTGTTTGGCCACCAGATGGCGCCCTTTCCCGAGCTGAGAGATCTGAACAAACCTAAGAGCTGCCCCGTGAGGGAATCCGAAGCCGTGCAGCTCGGCGAGCTGGGTTTCTGTGAGCCGCTTCGGCGCGGAGCTTAGTGGTTCCGACCGATGCTTCACAGTCCCGAAGGCTCTGGACGTCCTGCATGGAGGAGGTAAGCCGTCCGACTCCGCAGGTGTGCAGACATGAGGCAGGTGGACGGTTTTTTTTTGGAAACGTGCTCCGGTGGAGGAATGCTGGAAAATGCTTCCAGCTTTTGTAGATAGGGGTCATGAAAGTTGAGCGGACGAGCGGTGGGACAATAAGCCTCATGCTTTATAGTTTTTGTCTAGAAGATGCAGACGGCAAAAAATATGACGCGCATCTGAGCGCGTGAGTGTTTTAGAGAGGTGTCTTTATTTCAGGAGCTGTTTACATCTGAAGCAGGCTGAAGAACCTGGCAAATAAGAAGAAAAAAGGGACTTTATAATGAACATTTCTATTTTAATGGAAGCATTTTTTTGTTTTCATAGACTATTATGGTTTTAAACTCACACAGACTCATTGTCGGTRCAAATACAGTGGAGTGTGTTCTGGGAGCTTGAAAGGCAAGTTGAGTTGCATTGCTTGAATTCAGTCTTAGCAGCTCCTGCCTTACTGTTCAAGTCCAGTCCAGTCGATATGTGATGTCCCCCCCCCCCCCCCCCGGACTGTGAGTGTGACTGGTGGGGGGGACTCTCTTCAAGGTCACAGACTTCACAGACAAACATATGTTGTGCCTGGATTATTTCTATCAAAGCCGTGTTTATTTTCTACTTTCACTTGCATTGTGAACATGTTGCTGCGTGCAAGTTAGGCATTTGTTTTTGTTCATATTGTTCCTTTCAGACACATTATGATCTCCACTCAAAACAACAAACAAACAAACAAACAAACAAAAAGAAAAAAATAAAGGACACACAACCTTACTTGGGTTTTTATGCAAACGCCAACAAACTTTACCAAACATAATGTTTCTGCCTGATGTGCTTCAAATAAAGTCTCACTGGAAGTGCTGCTGATGCAGCTACAATGCAAAATGCCCGTGTAATTCTTGGTAATTAACTGTGAAATACTAAACTAAGTGGGTGGCATGGTGGAGCAGTGGTTAGTGCTGCTTGCCTCACAGCGAAAAAGGTCTCAGGATCACCTTCCAGACTTTGAATGTTCATTGTTGTGGGTTTTCACCAGTTTTCTCCCACAGATCAGAAACATGCACATTGGGTTCATTGGTAACGCTAACTTGTCCCTAAGTGTGAGTGAGAGTGTGAGTTTGTCTTGTGTCCCCTGTGATGGACTTGCCACCTGTCCAGGGTGTACCCCGCCCCTCGCACTGTGACTGCTGGAGACAGACAMCAGCTCCTCGTCACCTGGGAAAGAAAGGCAGAAACATGCATACTAAACTGATGTAAAGGTTTATAAAGAGCGTTCACACAAATTGCTGTAATACATTTGAGATTATCAGACAGAATTAACCTTAAAGGTTATAAATACAGGTAGACCTTTGTCCTGCCCTCTCTGTGTAAACAAATGAAACATTGCCTCTTATGAAAAACAGTCAGAGGGAAATGTCTTTGCACCACACAACTCTAGATATTCAAGACAAAATGGAGATKTTGGAGTTTTTTGTGCCTCCAGGCCCAAAGCAACAATGGAGACATTTCTTTTTTCCTTTTTTTCCCGTCTACCTTGATCCTGTAGCCATCAAACACTGGCCATGATCTGAACMGGTTAATTACTGAGATGAAATAATAAATTATTATTATTAAAAAAAGGTTTTGTAAGAATCTTTAGCCAAAATATGGTAATTGTTTTTCCTGTATTTCGACACACAATTGATGTGGATACTCTTGATCTATCATGGGCATTTTAGTTTTTTTTTATTAGAACAATGCACACAATGAAAAAAAATGTAATATATAAAGAGATGGGCAGAGATGCAAAGTAACTAAGTACAAATACTGTGTTACTGTACTTAAGTACAGTAACAAAGTATTTGTTACTGTACTTAAGTAGAAATTTTGGTTATCTGCACTTTACTTGAGTAATTACTTTTCAGCGTACTTTTTACTTTTACTCATTGCACTTCTACACAATTATCTGTACTTTCTACTCACTACAGTTTTTAAAAAGGTAAGAAGAAGAAAGTCGTTACTCCTATTTTATTCCGAGTTGTTATTGCTTAAAAAATACTATCCTGATAAATTGTGTCTCCTGGTCAGAGTGAATTAAATTGTGGTTGGATGAGAAGTATAAATAGATACCTTTCTGACACCCTATTAGCTTGTACACAACCCATCACAGCTGCACGCCGTTAGAAAAAAATATTTTTTGGAGAAGTCACCTCCCAATAAATGTCATTTTGGAAAATCTAACTGCTCACTTTTACTCAGTACTTTTACTTTTAATACTTAAGTAGATTTTGTGTCAGAAATTTACTTTTGATACTTAAGTACAAAAAATATCTGATACTTTAAGACTTTTACTCAAGTAATATTTTTAGAGAAGACTTTAACTTTTACCAAAGTATTTTTATGATAAGATGCTTGTACTTTTACTCAAGTATCACTTTGAGGTACTTTATACAACACTGCCTATGGGTATAACCCTGTTTCAACAAACTGAGGTCACMCAAACAGCTTTCTACAACAGCCAATCCACAGAACCCCACTTTTAAAGAGCTGAATTTGAACGAAGTGAAAGATAAATGCTAATGAGAAAAATCTATCTCAGAACACAAGCGCTAATTTCATCAGCAAACACTTTGAGGTCTGGATAGAGTTTTCCTTTAATCAGTCTGTACTCCTGGGTTTCCCTACAGAAACCACAACATGCTTCCGTTTTGACTTGGACTTTAGGCTGCAGGCCGGCGGGAAGCGCAATGAATAATGAATGGTTCTGAAAGTGTGTGTGTGACAGTTGTGCTCTATTCCATGCAGAAGTTATCTCCTCTGCCACGAAAGCCCTTACAGCAGAGCCTTTCTACCACTTTTTTTAGCTTCTGACAGTGGTTTTAGTGCTTACAGAGAATCACACTTACATCTGCATACACCTTAGAATAAAACAACAACACTAAAATACTAAGAACGACCACTTTTCACAGCACATGAGGATGAAAATAAAGGTTTATTTTGTCTTTTATAACATGTCATATTTTCTGGTAGTCTGATTAGATCTGCTTTCAAAACCAGAACAATTAAAACTYGGCTACACAGAAAGGCAGAATATTTTCATAAACTTGGCATCATTTCTATGCATGTTTTCAGTCACTCAGATAGATCATCTTATGCAGCCTACGTGGACAGCCTATGTCCCACGTAGAGTGTGGCCTACGTGGGCTGGAACCCCTGAAATGGGACACAGCAAAGGTTTATACTCTGGATAGAAAATGAAAACACAAGAAGAGGACGCCATCAGATCTGAGGTTAGACTAAGCGTTCCGTCTCCACTCCGCTCCGCTGCGCTGGTCGCAGCTGTGCGTTTCAAGTACAATTTACACTACCTCCACTCCACTCCGCTCTGGTCCGACAGACGTGCAGGAAGGAGATTGCGCGATAAATTCAGTGATAAGTATGGAAGTCACAGCAAAAAATAATCTGTGAAAGACGAACTCCAAACACAGCTGAAAACATTGATATAAAGGCATTTGGTATCTATGTTGAAACTGTCTCGCTGTCGGCTTTCTGAAACTTCTGATTTCAAAATAAAATCCACGTCTATCATGTGTGTACACATAACTTCATGCTGCATGTTTCCATCTGCTTCCCAAACAGAACGATACATTCTGACAGCATTTGTGTAGAAATACATCCATATATTTATTAATACTGTATAGCTGCAATTTCGACATTATTCCGACAAATTATCCAGCCTAAAAGTGTCTTATTTTGAAAATACGGATGTTGTGCTCGTTTCTTTTCAAAATTGACTCCGGCGCAGCTCCGGTKTTGTACGAAATTCAGTTCTCCTGTGAAAATCTGTTTCCCCTGTGTTGGAAGCGCCTCCTTCATAGGATTGGTCTGACATTATACCTGGACCAGTGTAATGCTGCGTTCACACTGAACGCGATTTCAGCTTCAAAATCGCAGCTAATGCTTCAAGTTGGATGCTTGTGCACTTTGAGGTCAGACGCAGGTCTGCTCTTGAAGCGCTGCACGGCAACAGCCTCTCCGCCCCTCCCTCCTCTGTCRGGCTCTGTTTAATGTYGGACGAGGAAGTGGCTTTGCTTTATTTACAGAGAGCAAGAGCATGTCACGTTCATCAGATAATTAATTCATAATTAATTCACCAGATAATTCAGARACATTCTGAGTTTCATCACCCAGGAGCTGCGGGAGAGGCTCACAGCTCGCTTTCAGGACTATTTTTGTCCCGAGTCCAGTCTGATGAGCCGCTGCCACGCATTGGTGYRGATATCTCCTGTCAGGACACCGACTGCAGGCACTCGATTTCAGCTAAAGAGCTCCTCTCCATCTGTTTCAGGTTAGTGGACATCATTCAGYAAACTGTCCCGTCGGGAAATATGTCGCTACGTCACACAGTGGAGTCTCTCTGATTGGTTGATGCGGCGCGTCGAGCTGCAAAAGTTCAGATTTTTTAAATTCAGAGATTTGCGCATCAAGCACATCGAAGCTCAAATTGTTCAAATCGCGCTGCTCTAATCGCGCTTGAGGCTCCGCAGCACTTCCCGACGCTGATTGAAGCTCGTCCACCATAGACTTTGCATGTAAACCTGATGCTCCTGATGCTGAAATTGCATTTGGTGTGAACGCACCATAAGGTTAACCACTAGGGGGAACAGATTTTCACAGGGGAACTGAAATTCGTACAACACCGGCATCCGTCAAAAATAGGATCTGTTTTAATTGTGACGGATCGCCGTCCGCTCACCGCCGCCCTGCACAGCCGTGTGCAGCCAGTGTAAACACTCTCATTGATTATAAAGGGTGCGTATTTGCTGCGGAGGTCGGACCGGAGCGGAGACGTAACACAAGTAATGTAAATTAGGGGGTAAAGACGAGGCTATGGTGTCTTCATATTTTCAACATGTTGCGTTTTGTTCACCTGCACAAAAAATGCAAGGGAGGCATTTGCAAAATTGTTTTAGTCCAGACACTGTTTTACACAAAAATRCCA